CTTCTTCAGAATCTTTCTCTTAGGGCACAGCTATGGAACTTCTGACGTCTGGAACAAACTTGACGTACGCATTTCATCAGGTTCATGGTTTACAACGATCGTTCTACGAGTCTACTTTATAACAACTATAAAGTTAATAAGTTGGAGAGCGTGCTGTGCACCAACAAATGTTGTAATTTGTAGCCCAGGCCTTTAAAAATGGCGTGTACCTGCACATGCAGAAATATATATTATTATTATTAACAACTTCCCTATCCTTTTGAGTTTCTTTAAAATGCCAATCATCAAAATTATGGTCTGGATAAAAACGATGAACATAGATGCAGTATATGAAATGAATAGTGTTTGTGATGCAATGATGAATAACGGCCATTCATGTAAGCGACCTATTACGGCTATATGGTATGCCATATCTTGATAAAGTTTAAGCGATTCATTGTATATTGTGTTGATACAGAGGAGAAACACTAAAGTGGTAATCCGATTCTTCAATTGCCAGTGTGTTCATCTGTATAGTAAATCGCAACATACAGCATCATACACATATCAAAGTGAGAGCTCATTGCAGTAAATTATGTCAAAAAGAATCATTGAAAATTGCTGACGATAATGCTGAACTGAGCGTTTACTGTTTCAGCGTAATAGGACTTTTGACCTGACAAACAAACTGATGAATAGGCGTTACACAACATTTTGTAGTGTGTTGTTTCGCAGGATAATTCACGAACGTTTGTGGGATTATTACCAATGTCAGTGGTTGAAAATATCCGTCCAATGATGGTCATGGTTTTTTGATGCTTAAATTCTGTGGCAAATAAAATCATTCGCTAATTAGTGGGAATCCCTTATAAGGTCTGTTTTCCAGTTGCTAGATAGTTTGACTCCATCAAGTTATGGTTAAAGATGCAAATGATTACGCGGCGTACTACATGAGAACGATATTCAACCATGAATAGTAGCCTGAATATAGCAATGTGGAGAAACGACTTGCCAACCACAACTAAACATATATATTTAACCCTTTAATGGTTTCGGAAATCCGTAGTCCACAATTCGCGGTAAACAAACTGTGCCTTATTCATTTTTCTTATGCTATACAAATCGTTCTCCTTCTTTATGACTTTTCAATAAACATTTCTCTTGAGTTTTCTTTCGATTCCCATAACATGATGTCTTACCACTGATGATGCAGCAAATTTTAGGCTTTATTAATATCTTGCACAACAACTCAATCAAACTTAATGTAACTAGAGACTATTCGGGTAGAAAATCAAAAACACTCAAAAAACTGTCCATTTGAACTATTATCAAGCATGTCTACGTGGGTCACTTATTTATTTCTTATCAGTTGTTATCTTTTTATCATATGTGTTACCGTCCAACCATTTACTTTCAAATCCTTATTCAGTGCCTTATATTATAATTCATAACTAACAACCTAAAAATCCTAACATCGAGATGGGAGAGGAGGGTTAAGCTACTGACCGACGAGCATTGATAACGATGGCGATGATTTAAGCTCCCATGTTCGCGACGAAGATGTTAGTTGTGTTCAACTCTTCATGATTGGTGATCGGATGACTATTCAATGAGCTTGAGAGCGTTTTTATTCGTGTATATTGTTTTGGAATCGTGCTTTATACCTTATGTTGGTTTTGCTGTTTTATCAAGTCGTCTAATCACATTCATCTCCACACACTTCAGCACAGACATGACAGTTGGCATTCGATAACAACAACAAAAAGAGTAATAAATAAACGAAAACTACGTTGCTAGAGTCATGTGAAAACCTAGACAATTTACATCACTTTTAATTTCTTGAAATCATTAGATATTTACCCTAGTTTACTCTCAAACCTTCTATTATCTGAGGGTTGTTCCTCCTTTACAATTCTTGACACTGATTTCAGTTTATATGCTTTATCTAAAGTTTTTTCACTGATTAGTTTGAGGCGTACGTGCTAGTAGACATAAATTACTATTCACATCTCAAAACATCAGCTATTACCAGACACCTTTAATGTTAGTTCTGCTGTCTATGTTATTCTCTTTTTTCAGCACACGCAGAGATGCAACCTGGAGATGTTCGTCCATCAACGTTACGGTTTGTACAATGTGCGTTTCTGAACAGATTATAACAACAGTGAACAGACAGTACAGTACCAACATAAAAACTCGCTTATCAAGTTGTTGGCACATTCGTATGAGTATTCTAGCATAAATTTTCGCTGACTTTCTCTTTTTAATAACTTTAACAGCATCTCATCTGTCAGTCCATGTTACAAATTACTGACCGTGCTCCCAAAATGGCTTGTACGTTCTATATATTATTTGTAGTAGTACTAATGACATTCATGTTGCTATGTACGAAAGTTAGCCCCCCCCGTCTCCCTAACCACTGTATCCTATTATCATAGTAAATACTTTATTAACTGTAATCTTTCCATCTTGAATGTAAACTGGAATTCTTTCCGTAACATATCGTCGTATGACGATAATTCACTATTGGAAAGATTCCTTCGTGCGAAAATGTTTGAGCCAAAAATCACAATTAGACGGATAATTCCCAATTAAAACGAGTCGTCCAACGTCAGGTAAACCTCCCACACATATGGTAAGCAAATCCATAACTTTTTAGATAAATAGAAACAAAGTCAACATGATAGGTAGGTGACAATATTTTGGAAAACTCAATATAAACACAAAATATTATGAAATAGTGCAAACTATAAACAAAGCACTTTAGCTTAAGTATAGCAAAAATAAAATTAATATATACTTTGAATGTGAGGGACACTTATTATGAACTATATATGAATTAGTCGAGACGTACAACGAAGTGTGAAGCAATGTAAACTGTACGATGGGATGTAACAGAGTAGGCTAGAAGAGTTGCAGACGCATCAGCGAATAAGAATGTAACCAAATATAATTTGAACATCCAAAACATCCGTTAATGAGTTAGTATAGAATGTTAGAAACGTACAACGAAGTGTAGTTGGTGCTTTCAGGTTTTCATTAGCGATCTAGCTTCAATCGACCCATGATCTCAACTATTAAATTGGCTATAACATCAACAAAACCGCTTCTGACAAACTCTGTTGTTTAATACTTTGTATATGACCATCGAGTGACGGTTAACTGCAAATGCCCGAATGCTTCTTCTTACTCACAGTCTTGCTGTAAAATGTGATCGACAAACGAACCCACCAATAGTGAAGTGAAACGCTCACCACTACACTAACTTTTCTTGACCCTGTATGACTGCGTCCTATTTATTCACCAATCACAATTCGATGTTTATTATGAAACAATATTTGATTTGTTGACTCATTTTTCCTACTCTCTAGTTACTGTGCGGTACGTTGTTTATGTCTCCGTTTTTCCCTGTGTTTATAGACTGTACTTTTGTTTTGTACACTAACAGGGTTAATTTACGTTTTAAAAACAGATAAAGTTTATCCAGCCAAATTGCTTACTTGTTCTGCCTTTGGCTGAACCATGACTCTGTGTTCGACAGTCTAGGGATTAGCTTAGAGTTGAATCTGAAGGAAATTGCTTCCTACACTTGCTGACACAAATCTTCATCAACTACCAGTATAGATACATATCTATAAACTTCAAACGCCTTCCACTATATCATATGTCAGTGAACGGTCATTTATTTGTGGACTTACGAAAATTATGAATTCCTGTATTCTGTAAGAACTAAAATCTCTGGCTTTCTAGTGGCTTATGTCCATCCTAGATGGTTCACAATGTGGAATAATATAATATGCAATTTTTACGTTTTAATATCACTGATGAACTTTGAGTGATTCTTAAACAGACACATGTCTGAGTTTCTCAGTTTATCTTCAGGCTACACAGTTTATGCAAGAGGTTTTCCTATTTCTTTGTGCGTATTAACCATGTGCTAGAAACTTCTTAAAATGAAATGGGAAAAATTTTGTTAACCTTTGAAAGATGTTCAGTTCAACATCTAAAGTCTGAAGTCCTACGCTAAATGTGTAACGTTGAAGAGCATTTTTGGCCAGTTCAATGGAAGAACGTTTCACATAATCTTCAACAGTTTTATTTATGCCCATTTAGAGTACGTAAACAGCAGTTCATCTCTCAATCCAAAAGGATAAAGACATTCTGGAACGTAACCAACGGCGAGCCACGAAATCCGTTTGGCGACTTAAATTCAAGTCTTATAAAGAGCTCCTTCAACTACTGAACCCTTACCCATTAGAGTACAGGCGTCTTAAAGTCGACTTTCTAAAGGCCTAAAGCATCACAAACACTTCTGTGCATCCCCTCAAACGCCTACATAAGCCCAGTCTAAATATGAACCCTAGAGGTAATATCCAAGAACTAGAATCACAATACGGAAGAAAGGAATGCATGCTCACCTTTTACCCCTTGAGAGTGATCAAATGTTGGAACTCGTCGCCGGTTGGTCTAGTTCAAGAGACTTCCCAGGAGTCCATTAAGAGAAAACGTGACATATTCTTAAGGACTAAGAACAGCATCTAACTATAACTTACTAATTCCGTTTTATCTTCCTTTTATCGTTAATATACCTGAGTTCTTGTCCGGAGGCACCGGTGATCCACTTTTGCTAAATATAGAATCCAGTTAAGCGAAAGCTTCTATTCCGTCCAGAACGATATGAACCATTTGGATCATTTTAATTCTAGTGAATTTGAGCAAAACCTTGATTATTCAAATAAAATATCAAAAAATGCATTTTTATACAGAAGTTTTGGTTTCATGTTAATGGTTCAAAGTTGACCTTGACCGCTATCACATAACAATAATTTCGATTTAATAAATATTATTTGTAATATCCCAATGAGTAGAAAATTCGATTTTCTGACGTTTCGTGACTCAGTGTGAGGCACTACTTCAGAGAATAATTAACCAAACTCACTAATAGTATAGATTGTTTTATCTTGTTTTTTCACACTTTTTGTGTGTACGCTTTCAACGCGTGGGTATTCAAACAAGCCTAAATGTGCGGTCTTTTCATTCTACGAGAGAAAAGTGGGGTTTTGTTTAGGAACAATCCTGCAAATAATCCAAGAGGGTAAGTTATCAACCTGAATTCAAATCCAAAAAACTCTTTCTATCCAAAGCTTTTAGGCGTCTGTTGTTTTCGTAATAGGTCTCGATTTCGTTTGAAATTCGATAATTGTCATATCAAATAGAATCTGGTAAAAAGTAACACTAGTTAACTGCTCGTCATGAGCAGTATAATAATTTTTTTATGCGGAGGATTGCTTTAGTTACTGAGACATTGGGTCAGATATCGATCAGAATTTTACATTAATGTCCTCGATATATATAACTGCATATCATTTGTGCTAGTTTTATTTCCCTAGTTATAGGATACTACAATGTCATTAGCCTTTTCGTCCAACTGTTGTTTTCGCTCGAGTACTTGTTCTAGTAATTTTATCTCTGCGATAATATAGCGTGATGAGTTATAAGGGCGGATAGGTTCTGTGTTACTATGACTAACTTATTGACTGATACCGTGTAAATGGATGCCCGTAACTCTCACCCAACCAATTCTTACACTATCTAACGTCACTCGTCGAGTTACTGGGTGGTTTCGTATATCTAGTGTCTCAGTAGTTTTCCTTTGAATAAACGAAAATGCGTTATCCAAAGCTCATACGTATATAGCAATAACACAATGGGAACAATGGGAGTTTCATTAGTTGCTCATTATTGACCCTTTTTTGCTCAAGATATTTATTCCTGCTATCCGTCATTTGGTAGTTTTGATAACGGATGAGATACAGTATTTTCACTAGTGACTGCATGAGTATCTTGGTTAGTACAAATAAAGTAGTTGGACGTTTTAGTCGATTGAATTTATATTTTGTCGTTCACACTGTCTTGTTTTTTCGACTCTAGTAGGTATTTACTGAATCAGCTTGTAGCCTATATATCATAAAATGCATAATCAGTATATATCGATATTTCAGTGGCGTTGCAGGGATCTGTATTCCAGTTGTATCATTAAATAAGTTTCATAGGAATATATAACTTTTATAAATTTTAATGCGCATTGTTGTTTTCTTGTTAGGTTTTGTTATATAAACTTAAAAAGTCATTTCATCTACAGACTTTGCTTTATTTCACTGATTTCATGCAGGATAATACCTCTTTATTTATCATGTTTTAGTGAAATTCTTTCAATATGCTCTTCGAAATCCGATTCAACTGGTAACGGTAGATCCACAATATCAAATCAGATATCTGCTTATCATTTTTCTCCGGGCGGCTATAAATTATATTTTGCATTAAATTCAGGTGATTTATACTGCTTGGACTTTGCGAAGAACTGGTAAGCCTCATTCATCATACCCACAGCAAATATCTTTAGGTATCAATTAATAGCTTCGTTGAATCGGGGTATTACATGTATATGTTTATGCGAACCACGTGGATATGTCCTTCTGGGTTTGAATGATAACAGCATCAGAATCTTAGACGAGGGTAACATTTTCGCCATTTTCTGGTTTTCCTGTGGAAGATGTGTTGCTAACTTGTTGCTTTGTTTCTCTTCAATATCAGGGCATTTTTTGGATAAAAATCATATCAACGTACGGTATTTGCTCATTCAGAAGTGTAGTACCGTTGTCCTATATTCCCATATTATCCAAAAACAATCCATCTATGCCCCAGAAAATAGTCATAATTTCGACTGAAAATGATATGACTTGGTGGTTAATCATTACAAACAATTCAAATTTTGTTGTCAAGTCCTACCTATCTGAGTTTCACAACTTTATGTTATGTTTTATGCACATGATTCCGTTAAGCTTTACTATTCCTCATTATATAAAGTGTAAAATTGTGCAGCTTTCAATATTAAGTATAAATATATCCTTCACGAATGATATATTTTCGAATTAAAGTTGCATAATATCGTGACATGCCTTCAAAGAACCCATATTCCAGTGTATTTTGATCTGTTCAGTACTGAATACGAGTAGCACTATTGTCTAAACGATTTGAGCAAAAATAGTGTATCGCATTAGCTAAAACGTGTTAGATATCTTATCTCAGTAGCTTTTTGGACAAGGCTATGGAGTGCACACTGGTTGGTACTACGTTTTTACAACCAGCTGACTAACCTTCAGTAAAATAAAACTTGTGTCTTGAATTTGGCTTCTAACCACTATCAGAATATTTAATCAGTATATAAAAAGAAAGTAATATCGATGAACTGGTGTACCGACAGAGACCAGATATTGTTACTTTGAACACCAATGAAGCGAAAAGCGAAGTCTGTCCATTTATTACCATTATATTTTATCTTTAGAGTCCGGGAAAGAGATTAATTCTTTGAGTGGTCACACGTACAGAATCTCTTATATATCAGTTCAACCAGTTTCTGGTCGTTATGGATTATCTACTGCCCTGAGTGAAACAATATTATGGGATCTCGACACTAGCACATGTCGTTGCAGGTTACATATTGGCCAAAAAGTGAACATGGTTTCAGTGAGTTTATTTCACTGTTTCAAAAGTTATGTTGTAATCAATAGACTTGTCTTGTTATTTCCAAACGTCCAGATTATTTAACTGTAGTGGAGTTGCTAAATTATAATTTTTAATATTTATAACTGAATTTTTCAGGACTTCCGATTCCCATTTATATATATGTTCTCTCCGTATATCTTGAAATGGTCTTAATTTTTAAACAAACTCTCGATTTTATGCTTCACATAAAAAGTCGATTTCTCCGACGTTCCCATTATAATGTTAGAAATGAACGGGATTGTTATAGTTTTATAATTGTACATTCAGGTTCTTTATAAAAGTTTAGTTATGTCCTGTAGATACATTTGTCGTCATCTTATGTCCAGCCATTAGAAAAACTGAGTAAAATTCACTTTTTTGTATGATCGCATTTTATTCGAAACCAAATAGCTGTTTTACGCTGTTTATAAGTACACTTTACAATGTTTCATGGTCTTAGTATCGTAAAATCCATGAAATAGATGGTTTGGTTTGATTTTATTGTCCACCAATATTTTTAACTTTTAGTCGGATATATATTGTTCTGCCCAAAACTACATAGTATTTCTTCAATGAACTAACTCGAGGTGTACCATTAGTCTGTGAAAAAGTGTGAGCGTCCATTGATGGATTTTATGTTTCTAAAATTGCATAAATGAACTGAAGCTAACACTATGCTATTAATAACAAACAGTCATTTTTATACATTGAGGGGTAAAACTATATGTGTAAAAGTCTCAGCTGTTGAATTTTAAGTGAATCCAACTTTTCGCTTGTCAGTCTTATCTCGACGTTTTAAAGGTAATACTACACTAATTCGGCGCCCAACTTTTGTGAACCTATTCGTTCAAATTTAGGTGGAAATTCTTATAAAGTAATTTTCATAGTTGTTGCTTCGTTTACATTTTAGGTAACTTTCATTCCACCTCGTGGTGAGCAAATTGTATCCTGTTTTCAAGATGGATCCATTTATGTTTGGAGTACAGATTCTCTTCAGTGTTTGTTAAGGCTTAGTAACAGTGATTATCCGAATCAACTGTATAGAACAATTACATTTACCAGGTTCGAGTATTTCTAATTTTCTTAGTGTACAGAAGTTTTGAATAGTGCTGTCTATATGGATTTAAGCTTTATATATATAAAACCTCTCTTTATCAAGGTTGTGTGTCGAGTATTTTTCATCTGAGCTGTCATCTAAAGAGTCACGGGAGAATTATTGTAGATATTAAAATCCATCCTTCAGATAAGTAAACTTGTAGATTTTTATTTGCAGTACAAGCAATCTTAACTTAAGGAAATCGAAAATCCTTAAGTTAAGCATAGTATTTTTATTGTGCGCAAATGAAAATATAAATAATAATAACGGCCACAAAATGGGAATTATTCATGATCACAGTAAACATGTAACTACACACACAGCTAATTTTTTTCTGAACCTGTATTCATATCTGTCTGTGACCCATCCAGCAAACATCTATTTTTTCTAACATTTCAGTAATAGTTGATCATCATTAAAACCGAAGTTGATATGTAAGCTGCCGACTCTAGGACTGGTTGATAAAAGTAAAGAGGTGGTCAGTGTATGACATGATATCGTGGTATGAAAGAAAGCTGTGCGGGACTGGCTTCTGTTGGTTCTTCACGACTCTCTGGTTGAATTCCTAGAGATGGTGCAACATAGTGGCTAGAGACATTATCAGATATGGCTCAGAATAGAAGCCAATTGCGATCCTGCTGTAACTTTATTTTACTTTCTTCATAAAAAATGGACGTAACTTCTTTAAGTGGAAGAATTCTTTCTGGTTGTACCTTTGTTAACTGAACCTCCTTTCCCATTATTATTATTTCACTATCATACACTAATTTCTGTTCTTTATTGTTCCCCTTTTTTCTCGTACGCACCTTACATTCTTTATCTCTTCTCATTCTCATTGTTATTGTGTGGCGCATATATATCTGATGACCCTTTGTACTAACATTTATGTGTTCAAATAAATAACTAAATAAATTACTCACTAGATGAAGTTGCGATTGTTGTTTGTCAACTGGGTACTTTGCACAAGCCTGGAGACAAAATTCAGTTGTTTGTGCCACATGATTCAGTGGTTAGGTGTTATCTGTCTAATAATAACAGCTACTAATTCAGATAAACTAATAAAATCTAAAGTTACAATTGATTGATCACTGCGTGGCGATCAGTGTCGGGTTTTTCTTAGTTCAGATTGAATCCTATCGATCGCAACCCAGTAATCAATCGCGGCCCTTATAACTCAGTGGTAGCGTCCTTGACTGTGAAGCTGGGTGACACGGGATCGAATCCGTCAGGGAGTATCAGTTCTCCCAAGATTACAAGTACGCCTTGTTGATGAGTGCCAAGTAGCGCGAAACCTAGGTTCAGGGTTTCCTGTTGACTACCTACAACTACCATCTTAAAATCTAAATCTCAATATTTTCATTCGTTTTTTGAATTTTCAATTATTCAGCTACGTGTTTCGTCTTTTATTATTACTTTTTTTTCTAGCAAAGGTCATTATTTATTTGCAGCTGGTCGTTCACCATTTGTCTACTTATGGGATCTAAAAGGATATGTAAACTGTTTAAGTCAAGACAGTCCAGATGTAGATCATTCCAATTCAAATAATCGGTTTTTACGAGAGTTAATTAAACTTCCTGAACCAATTAAATCAGTTCGTCGAATTGAATGGATCCCTAAATCTTGTTTGATTGATTTTAACCAATTTAACCATGATTCTATGATATGTGATGAGGTAATTGTTATTTGATTAAGTTATAAAATTTTTGCTTATATTCCAAATTCCGTTGTTATTTTGATCAGAATTGTAAACCAAGATAAGCTTGTTAACACTAAACGACATGTCAACGTCATATAACCTTATATTCGTGATCCTTTTTAGGAAACTGAAAACCTATATATATATATATATATATATATATATATATATATATATATATATATATATATATATATATATATATATATATATTGAGCAGTCGATTGGTTGGCATTCATGATATATCTACAACTTAAGGGACCTAAATTTTATTCTAAGAAATTTGAAACTACGTCACTTATTGTTGCGGTTAGTGATGTTACCATTATTTTATGTGGATTATGACCGACCTGTATGAGCACTTAGTAGTAAATAATATCATTTTTTATAGTTCTTGAAGCTGGTTGAATTTTTTTTTGACAAAACTGCATCTTTTGTTGTTCATCAATTTCATTTTTACTTTAGTTATCTGGTCTACTACTATTACTTGGCACTGATAAACGTTTACGTCTTTTGATACGAACCCGCGAAAATTCTAGAAAATCATTAGCTTGCACAGAAAATTTGCCAAAGCATCAACTGTCAAAGAACTCAACTCCTATCTATTGGAAATGCTTGTTTACATTTGGATGTGGTTCATTAGAAGACCCACTGTTATCATCATTTAGTTTACCGGCTTACAGTATTTTAGATCTCTCTGAGTGCCAGGGAAAAGAACGGAATAAATCTTTCAATTGTCATTCACTATTGGCTATTCTTGATGATCATGGCTTATTACACATAAATGATCTTTCAATAGTAATAAGCTTCCTCAATAGTGTAAGTTATCCATTCGTGGTTTATTGTCAGATTTTACTATTTGTATGTTTTTAATGTATAAATACAGTGAAACTTGCTGATGAGGCTTATTTCAAAGTTAGGGATAAAAATTATATTGTATTCATACAAATACTATGATGAACCCTAATGTTAAAGTCTATATATTTTTTTCGTTTTTCTGGGGGTGGCACTGTTCCAGTGTATCAGTTGATCAAAAGACGTCAAGCTTTCAAACTATTAGGTTATTCTGTGAAAATTATTTATTTAAGTACTGCATGAATTTCTCCTCGCAACATAGTGATTTTCAAGCTTATTTTTTCAATAAGAATTTGAGACTGTTAAATAAGGGATGTTATAGGGATCTGAGCTACGTGAATCATAATCATGTTGCTTTCTACTCGGTGGGACTAATCTTATGTGTATCTGTCTGGCTGTTTATACCCACAATTATTCTTCTACCGGTCTCGGCCTTTTTGTCTTTTTACCCATTCATATACGCGTGTGCTTATTTATCTGTCTGCGTATAGCAATGTTTTAATAGAACTTTCAACGTTTTTTCTCGATAGAAGTTATTAGTGAGCATATGGTTATCCAATACACTAGAAACATCACGGGATTATATGCAACTAGGACACAACTTATATCTAACGCACCTTGATTTTCAGTCATCTTTCTGCTACTCTTAATCCTTGATGGAATGTTTTTTGAAATTAAAAAATCTTCATAAACTGATGTGTGGGCGAGAATGATCATGATTGGTTGTCTGCTTAGTCAGACATGTAGATAGTCTGAAAGGTGTCAGATAAGTTATACATTCTCTCATCCTTATTACTGTGACTCACTTATTATTGATTGTTCATTGTTGCGGATTGTCGTTTTTCGTTGTGGAAGTATATTTACGTTGTGGTCAGGCTAATTACGTTTCTTGGTCTGAGTTATGTTGACGTCCTGTAGAAAAGACACTGGGAGGGATCTAGTGTAGATAATCGTTTAAGGTAAATTAACGTCCCATACGTGTAAACGTGGAAAGCGAACTGTTATAACATTAGACGAGGTAAAACGAAGCGTTATAACCTAAACTTAAGAAATTTACTTAACAAATATAATGGCATCTATTCATCTGTAAATACTGCTTTGAGGTGTATAATTTTGAATGTTGCTTGGTAGTATCTCCACGCTTTTCGTGTAAATAAATCTGCTAATCCTGTTTGTTGTCATCCATTTCAGTCATCAATACCTGTAATTAAAGTGAAAAATGAGATTTCAAATGAAAAGTCTTCCCTCAAGCACATAGAAAACAATACGAGAAACGACTTTCCAACTTTTAAAATGTCTACAAGTTATAATAAACATATATGTACAACAAATCCAGGTCCATTACACAAAAAAGACCCTGTAAGTTCTTTTCGAATTTGTAATCGTTGGTGTTACTGTTCTGTCTACACCAGGTAATTAGTGGTCTATTTTTCATTAAAGTATCCTTCATTTGTGATGTTCTGCATATCTCGAAATTCCACAGTTTCCCTTCATAAACCGACTGGCTATATAACCTCATTATGGACACAGTCATCGTCCTGTCTGTGTGTTTGACATTATTTTGCTTCGTGACTTGTGAATAAGTCTACGTTGTGTATATCTTGATCACTCAAGCTGGTCGTTAACAGTCTTGATACATCTGGATTATTTCAACACAGGAAACAAGCCAGTTTAGTATTTTAAAATTTTGTAGAGTTTGCTCAGTAAATATCTGAACTTAATGTTTTAAACAAATTGAGAATCCCTTATATAAATGCTTTCTATCTGGTTCCATAGATGCGTTGGCCACTGTACATAGTTTAGCGTGAACTTTAGGCGACGTTCTATAAAATGTTTGTGTATGTATTTCGTTGTTGTTTATGCTGAGTTTTCCTGTACCTTACTGTTATTCCTGATTATGAATAATTGAGTATTCTTCCAGTACGAAACTGGATCTACATAAACTCGGTTGGTCGGACAACCGAAACACAAAACTTCACTGATAGTCCGCAACACAATGGAAGACAATATGAAGTGAAGAACTCAGAAATAAGTTTGGTAATGCGATAACTTTTCGTATACATAGACCAATACTGACCCTAAGACACAGTGTAGTTAGCAAACTAAAAGTAAGAACAACTAGTCAATTAACGGCAAATGTCATCGTAGGGATATAAACTGAGAAAACGTCGCGGTTATCACTTTGTATAAACTATCATTTGTTAACAAGAATTGAATAACCTGGTCTTCCTAGCATCGCCACTTTTTGAATTAAAATTATCTGTCTCATAATACCAGTTTCGATTTGAAGTCCACCTCTTAAATATTGAAAAGAATAAGTTGGGTAGTTTCTTGATTCTCTATCAATATTCAAATCACAGGTAGTCTTTCCTTGTGGACAAAGCAATGACTGAGTGGATTTGAGCCATTTATACACGGCATCTCGACATCAGTTGACAGACGGCTGAGAGGCCAATTGACAAAGGGATCATTAACATCGTCTGTGATGTATTTGTAGGATACTGGGGTGGTATCTGCTGACATGTTTACTGATTTTATCACCACATCACATTTGGTCCCTTCAAACATTGTGCACTACAACGCTAGCCTGTAGATTGTAGAGTTTTGGTCTTCTCTTTTTTAGTGACCTTTTCCAAAGGTGTTGTGGAGAGGTGAGTTATGACAACTTCAGACCATGAGACGATTCACAATGTACTTCATGAACTTTGAGACCACCTTTTTACCCTGACTAAATCAATGCACTGTTATGGTTGATATTCGTAAACTGTTGGTCTTTGGCAACAACATTTCGAGTGGTTAATAGATGCGATGCAGTAACTTATAGCTAGTGGTTGAAGATGTATTAACAGCAAAAGGGTACTGAAGAAAAGCTTCATCAATTTTCACAATCATCGCTCATCATCACTGTTAAGATTTTCATTGTAGTAGAGATCGTCGCAATAATAGATTCCCCTTTCGTAGTGAGATACCCTCCTTTTAGATGAAATAGGACATCTGGCTGATAAAAATCTCTCCGTCATTTACTGGGTGTTGGAATCGTATCTTAGTAGTGTTATCGCTCATCGCTTTGGTCGATCCTCAGAATGCTAGCACTTCAGATTTGAAGCTAAAGGCTGCTAGCATGGTCTTGTAGTCAGTCAATAATGTGAGCTTGCTGCTATATATCTTGTGAGAATGATGTTCCGCAAATATTCACTATTTGCCGATAGTTTTTACCCTCTGGTGTCCGTGTTCTGGATGCGTACATTTCCACCTTTTCCTCTGTATTAGGAAATTCGTGTAAAATGGCGGTCCCCACCCTGTTTGTAGACGCATCTGCTGCAACGATTAGTGACGTCTTCAGATCGTAATATGTTAAGAGAAGACTAGATACCAGTGATGCTTTTAGGCCTCCAAAGCTGGTTGACACTACTTCATTCAGTCCCACCTAGTATTCTTTACGAGAAAATAATTAAGTGGTAATCATCTCTTAATGGTAATCAATAAGTGTCAAGTAGGCGAGTGGAGTTGGTACATCATGTGGTACAAGCATTGCTTGGATAGCTTTAAAACGGTACTTTAGAAATGGTCATATTTCCTATATTTTGTTTACTTAATTCCAAATAAACCGGAAGTAGGAACTAGAATAGTGCTTACAGCATTAGATTAAGCAGATTATTATTCTAAACCGTCAAGCATTTAACCTGACCAGAAAAACTCTCATTTTTGTGAGTGAATATGTGCTGATTTATTTACATTTTCCTTCCCCAGATAATTTTAAAGATATTTGCAGCTTATAGCTTTCACTATACTCTGGGTCATTGCGCGTTTAAATATACGCGGAACGTACGAGGTTTGATCATCCTAATATATAATCACACCTTTCATTGAGAATTCGCAAATGTCAAACAACAGTCTTGTTTATTGTTCTTATATGCAGTTGGTTTCAAATTATCCTGTCATAATTCTTTTGTGTTTTTCATTAGTGTGACTTAGCACGCTTCGATAAATACACCATCTATTTTTTCACTAGGCTGTGGGAAATATTGACGAAGGCTTCAAAACTTCAGGAGTATTTAAAAATTGTTTAATCTGTTCTGTACTTCAAGAAATTAATTTTTAAAACTGTTTGCATCATCAACTGGTTATGGTAACCTTCTGCTGTAAACAGCTGTTTACAGCAGAAGGTTACCATAACATCCCAGGAGAAGGATATCATACATATTTTAGTAAAGTGCTTGTTGTGTAGAGTAAATAGTTTATTACAGCTATCTATGTTGAAAGTTATCAGTTTTAATGATAAAAGTAATCAAAACTTTTAAAACAGAAGTGAAAATGCACATGTGTAGAGATTGACACTAAGAAGTTATCTGTAAACAACCTCAAATTTTAATAACTACTCCGGGTTACCCAACAGCTTATAGTAAATTTACTCATTGCTTTGCTGTAGAAATTATATTTTTACATTATTTGCCAAAATGGTCTAATTTATTTATATTCGTTTTTATCTGTCACTGTTCTTAGACCATTGGTTTTTTGGATCGCAAACGTTTACGTTTATTACTTAGAGAATTTGGGAAATTTCCAAATAAATATCGGTAATCTAACTTATTTTAAAATTTTACATTATTTCAAATGTTGATCAGATAAAATCTAGTTTATTTTGACTGTGTTTTAAGATTATTGATAGAATCCTCATACAGAGATTAATCAGAAAGACTTTAATTTTACGAAGTAAACAATGTCGAAAATAGAGCGCTTTAAATAATCCATCCGAGTGAAATTCGATATTAAAATATTACTTACTTACTTTCGCCTGTTACTTCCAATGGAGCATAGGCCGCCGACTAGCATTCTCTAACCACCCTGTCCTGAGCCTTCCTTTTTAGTTCTATCCAATTTTTGTTCATTTTTCTCATGTCTGTCTCCGTTTCTCGACGTAATGTGTCCTTTGATCTTCCTCTTTTCCTTTGGCCTTGAGGATTCCATGTGAGAGCTTGTCTTGTGACGCAGTTGGGTGCTTTCCTTAATGTGTGTCCTATCCAATTACAGCGCTTCTTCCTGATTTCTTCCTCCGCTGGGATCTGGTTTGTTCTCTCCCATAGTAGGTTGTTGCTAATAGTGTCTGGCCAACAGATCCGAAGTATTTTGCGTAGACAACTGTTAATAAACACCTGTATTTTCTGGATGATGTCCTTCGTAGTTCTCCAGGTTTCTGTCCCATACAGTAGAACTGTCTTGACATTTGTATTGAAAATCCTGACCTTGGTGTTGGTTGACAGTTGTTTTGAGTTCCAGTTGTCCTTCAGTTGTAAATATGCTGCTCTTGCTTTACCGATCCGCGCCTTCATATCTGCATCAGATCCACTGTGTTCATCAATGATGCTGCCCAGACATGTAAAGGTTTTTACATCTTCCAAATCGTCTCCGTCAATTTTGATTGGATTGGTGCATGCTGTGTTGTATCGGAGAATCTTGCTTTACCCTTTGTGTATATTGAGACCTACTGCTGCTGAGGCTGCTGCTACACTGGTCGTTTTCTTCTGCATTTGTTGTTGCGTGTGCGATTGATTGAAATCGGAAAATATTGTCACTGATACTGGTTGGGAAATCTGAAAGTCCTTGGTTCAGTGTTGTGGAGCTTGGTATCAATCCATCTGTAAAATGATAGGACGATGCAGTTATTGTAATAAAAACGACGTTTGGATTGCAGCTACGGCATATTTAACCAAATATTGTAGATCAGTTTACTCAAACTTAAGCGTGTTGTTTTCTGCATCGAAATTTCTGTTTCCGTTCTAATGCTATGTTACTTTGCTACTTTTTCTTTCGTGTAACACCACGAATTTTATTTAAGCTAGTATTTTTTAAGGAGACTAAAAGACATGGAGTTGTTCACCGTTACCTATAACGGTGAAAAAATTCGTCTGTTCTGTATGTTAGGCCTGTTCTTTAAAGTTACTTGAATAATGAAAAGATTAAAATGGAATACAGAAAAAAGCTGCCCACTTTCATGTCAATAATCTATCTAGTTGTCGATCATATAAAGTGAATAGAAAGCAGAAGTAATAGAAATGAAGAAATCACCGCAGTTAAGTGACATTCTGTTTCGTTATGATTTATTGGAAGGGATTGTCTCTTAAGAGTTCGTCCTTGATGAGATCGGTGATTGACACCTTAGGCAACACATATCGAGGAACCGTTTAATTAGCTTAAGGCTAATCTTCCGTCTACAACTCGATCACATCTGGAATACAATATTGCCGTTGACCCACAAATACGTCTCAAAATCCAAATTTATGTGACCAACCTGGAAGGAAGCAACAAGTTAGTATATAACTATCTGGTACTGAAAGTCTTTAGATATAGTGGCCAGGAACTACTAGTGTAACTAAGTAAGGTATCGGCTAATGTTAGTAAAATAAAGAATAATTTCCTTAAACCCATCTTAATTGTTGATGACTCTTTTTTGTAAGAAAGTGTTAGAATACTCATGCGATAACTGTTTAGAATTAAACTAACTAACACAGTCTTCAATATGTTAAAGCATATTATCATTTAATACCTTACTGAAGTTCTGGAACATCAAATATAAGAAACTTGGGTTGACCTTATGCGTGATAAACGATTGTTCACTAATTATATACCCTTCTGTATGCCTTAGAACTAAATAATGTCTGCTAAAAGACTTAAATATAGTTGTCTGTTTGTTAGTGAATGCACTTGGCTCCATTGAACTGGAGGTTTTTTGATACTACATGGTTTTGAGGAGTCTCTCAAAAATCATTATTACTGAAAGGCTAATACTTATAACAGCTTAGATAAGGATATTTTATGGTGACGGTAACGGGTAGTATTCGACAAGCTTTTTTGTTATTATTTTTGTTTCACTGTTTTATAGATGTGATAATGGAAGAGATAACAGTTTACATTCAAATTTCCATTGGATTCCCTCCCTACAGATGCCATGATATGCCTACATTACGCGAATAATATAGTATTTCTAAAATCTTGTTCCGAACTTTGATAATGTTGGACATGGAGTTTTCATCCCCGTACTGAACTAGGTTACATTTTACAGGGTTTGGAAATAAGAAATGGAATGATTTCAGATGTTTTCTCACTTTGCATAGTTTAGAATGTCACACAACTCTTCATTAGGTGATTGATCATGAAATACAGAGACTGGTACTGAATTATTGTTTCCAATTGATCTTAATTAGTTTACAGTTAACGAACTAAACTGAACAATACTTTCGGTGTATGATTTTGGTTAAATGACAGGATCAACGTTCACTTACATGGAAAATATGTCTACTGTGTGATTTGTTACATCTCTCTATTTATTTTCAAGTTGTTTAACAACACTTCATCCTGTGATTTTAACTAGGGAAGTATCTTATGTACACTGTGGTCATGCTCTATAAACAGTATTATAGTGAGAGATCTTTGTTTAACCTCAGTAGAATAAAATGCTAACAAATCTCTATAGATATTGTTGTAAAGTGCACTTTTAATTTTGTTATTCTGATGCTAAATATAATACAAGTGAAATATTCTCTAAAACAAATAACTATATATATATATATATATATATATATATATATATATATATATATATATATATATACCTTTTCTCATTAGGATTATGAATATATTCTTTTTTTTTATTTTTCCGTAAAACTACTACAAACGAATGTATTGGAGAAGTATTCACAAGATTGTCTGTAAAGCAGTAACTTGTGTATACAGAGAGTATGTCACATTATGAAAATGCTTTAAACAAATTAAATTCTTTTTGATTATCAATATCCTTCATTCTATTTCATTTCTTGGTATTATATCTCATCGTAGATTTCTGACGAGTGCACTATTCTAGAAGCACTTCAAATTCACGATATATTGATATATCGTTCTATACCTATTATATTTTAATTACAGGTTATTCATTTGGCGTTCCGTTTTGCAAATCCCATGCAATACCCAAGCTTTTAGCATTCTACAGAAGAAAGGTATTCATCCAGCTTATGATTTATTATCTACGCGATATCCTATGCGGAGTCAAAGATTGTTGAAAGCCCTGCAAAAGTAAGAAATACTTTATCATCTGCGTTATTTTCATTGACCATTTGACTTATCGAGTGCTCATCTCTACGATTATTTGACACTGATTTTATGAAACAATCGTTAATCGACAATTAATCTTAGCTTTCATCTATAGATGTGAGTGTCACTGACAATTTGTTTCTTCTGATGGATATACTTTTTTAATCGACTCTCGGTTGCGTACCAAATATGACATTTTTTAGATTTTAGTAATGGTAATGAACTAAATTTTTCAGCGTTGTAACCATAGCTTCCATCCATACCTTATGGTGTTAGTTATATATTAAGCTCAAGTTAGATATTTTTAAAGCAAGTAAATCTCATAATGTTAACTCATTGATTTAAATGGTCTTCCGGGATCGCTTTTAGAAATTTGTCTTACCTATGATTACTTAATTCTAACTTGTATGTCATGAAATTTATAGAAATTTGTTACATCTTGATTTTGGTCAGGTTGATTTTTTAGCTTTATTTTTTATGTAGTGTACTTTTCACTTAGTATTTTACACTTACAATTCAATTGTTGTTATCAAACTGAGAATGAAAACATCTACTTATATGTTTGTTAGTTTTTCTACACAACACACGGATCAGTGTCCACTATGTATTAAAACTAGCATCTTTCCAGTTACAATCTGTTGATGTGTTTGTACATGTATGGATAATGCAAGATTTATATTTCAAGTAAAATTCGTATTGACCTTTGGTTCTACAGTAGTTTTGGTGAATTCGTAATTGGTTGTAATTTTGCTTAACAAATAAACCTCAAATATTTGATTGTCTTGATGTTCAGCGTACATCATATACCGATAGCTGTTTTAAAAAGGTGGATCATAAATTGCTTGAAATTCAGATTCAGGTTCAAATATTGTTCCTATTTGTATAATCGAAATGATGTGAAATCAGAATGTTATAAATTATAGACAAAATTCAACTACGTCTAAATTAAAATAATAACATATGACGGAAGAATATTCTTTTCAATGAATTCTTTTCTGTTTCTACAGTTTTATATCCAAATTAATCATCCAGAAAATGACCAGCTTTAAGATAAAACATATCGTTTAAAATTATAGCATATAAATTCAGGATTGTCTATAAAATAAAATAAAATCGTGAATGTTAGTATTTAGATTCCCAATTACAAATGCTCACTTTGGGTGATTAGCTAGTTATTCATAAGTATAATTGGGAATTTCCTTATTTTCCAAAAGAGGAATCGTTATGTGGTAAAAAACGTTTAATATACCCTTCTGAAATATAACTGACATAAGGAATGGAATATGATATATAATCAGTGATAGCTATGACAAACAAAACAGTTTCACTTCCATACATTTACTGAATCGCCAAATGTTTGTTTGTTTTCAAATTTCTACAAACATAATTAGAAATTCTGTCTAATGGTTACTCCAGTAATATGTCATTACTACGTGATTAAAGAACTGTTGTTCCTGTCCATTAAAATCTGAATTGTCAGGATGTTGGAAGTTGTTTGGTTTTGGTAAGAAACAGCATAGGAGAGCACAAACTAGTACACGTCTATTGAATGCGATTGAAAACTAGGTATATTGGGTTTATGGTTGCATGAAGGTTAACACAGAGAGAGGAAGAGGGTTACTTGTACAAACCTGTATAGTTGATAATGTTTATTGTTAAATTTTTCTCATTGTTATGATGGAATACACGCTGACTTCGATATTACTAACTGGTAATAGTCACTCCTCGACTTACTGATCCGTTTGCTGGTCACTGCCATTTGTAGTATTCCCTGTCAATTCAAGTCACTGTGTTACCTAAACAAAGTATGACAAACCATGCTATTATATCGAGACTATGTATTCGAATAATATATCATAACTCTGACAAGTACAATGACAAAATAATCTGGTCTCCACTATAGTCTTTAAAGTCTTGATGCTTCACTATACAAAAATGTTTCTGTAGCAAATACTCATTGGTGATATACAACTGGCGCTAAGGTGTTTGCAGTCACTTATTCTGTCCAATCTAACTGTTATAAAAATGTTTTTCTCTCGAATTCTTTGTTGTATTTTTGGAAAAAATCAAATCACAATAACAAAAGAACTTGTTCGGCATTGGCTTATTGGTGTCCATTGTTTGGTGAAACAGATTGGTTACCGTTGTTTGTTTTTCCTTTTCTAAAATTACATCAGAATAATCTGTTGCATGCATTTGAAGTTGCAGCTACAGTACTGAGTAAGTGTTCTATAGTTACTGAATTATAAAGGTGGATGTTGTGCATGAAATATGTAACTAAGAAACCGTCTACTTTATAGTTGCGTTTCAAAATCGTTTCACACTCTTTTCAAAATGTATGGTCAAACGGTATTTTCAACATCTACATAATACGTCGTCAATCATAAATGTATCCATAAAGAAAGAAAACCAGTAACTCGTATTTATCTCACAATTCATATGACTTATTCCCGTAGTTATTTTTGCTAAATAGTTTGAAAATATGCAAAATGTTTACCTTCAGTTTTCTATCAGTTGCGTCCATTTATCGAATATCACGTAAACTTCACTGTATTGTTGATGATAGTCTAATATACGATAGCCAGCTCAGGTGGTGATCAAAACTTTTTGTTATCAAACTAGGTTTACACATCAATGGATATAAAATTTTAAAGTGAAATTACTAGTTAAAAAATGGAACTGGTCAAAGTAAACTCAGTGTAATTTCATCATAACAGTGTATTAGCCATCCGTTTATAACAAAATATAGTAACTGTTTTAGAAAAATGTTTCGGCCAGTTGCGTTGTCTACTTTGCTGATGAAAGTTGTGGAAGTGAACCATTGAGTTTCAAATTCAGGAGAGCGATTAGTGGATGTACCTAACGAATTTTAGCCAATTTTTCATTAAACTGTTAACGTTACTAAAATAATGCTACAGTTATTCGCTGTCCTCCTGGTTCACAGTGAAAATATCATAACGCTTGCTCTGAACAGTGATAACTTATGGATGGAACCTTTATTGTCATTTAATTTTACAAATTTCACGTTTATTAGGAAATGTTGTTTATTTACATCGTCCTGGAAGGTGTTTCGATTGACATGAACTGTTTAACCTTGAAACCAGTAGAGAATGTTATGATATGGGTATGACCTGGTTGTTTGGTTGTAATAGAATGTGTCTAGGGTGTAGTTTATGTCAGGTGAATTGGAATGATATAACTCCAAATTATTTGTACACAGGAAATAGGTGTTTTGGTGCAGAGATATATTTATGCGTACTTTCTCGTGTGAGTAAACGATCTTGATGCATGAATGGTTAACAACAAAATTACATAGAGATTCATGTTATGTTTTGTTTTCACTTATATGTTTTTGCGCACAGTCAATTGGTGCGGTACTTGGTTCGAATTTTTCCCAAACCCCCAATTAATATTCTTTGCATGATTGAAAATATTATCGCTTACGCGGATCCAGAATTGTATCGTCATTTTGTGCAATATAACATTACGACCGAGGTAAGCGTATGTGCCAGTTGCGGCTAATCTCAGTTAATCATTTTATTTTGTGTTTTTTAACGTTGTTTTTTTTTGTTATTTTTTATCCCCCATCTTTCTAAATTGTGACTTGGATTTTTTTTAATCGCTTCAGATTTATGCTTGGCCGCTTCTGCAAACTGGTCTAAGTGAAGTGTTTAATGAAGATGAATGGTTATGTCTCTGGGATTCATTAATATGTTATTCACCTAGTCTATTACTTGCTGCGGTTGCAAGCTATTCTATTTGCGCTCGAGGACCACTTCTTATGGTTCAGAATACTGATACAATTGAAGTAAATATTTTCCTGTTTGTATTACTATGTAATGTATAAAATTATCGACATATTCCAAATGCTATTTCTGTTCAGTAAATGTGCATGCAAATACAAGCAGAAATGGATAGTGGCTAACGGTGGAGTACAGGATCTTCGCTTGGCCTACTTAGGACTCGTCAACTTGATACACCTGGATCCCAGAGTTGACGTTCACTCCAGAACTCGAAATCAGTACCGTTCGCTTCAAACACCATCACGTTATCTATCCACTTTGCTACTGAGTTCAGATTACAACTGGCTTGTGCAATGGCATGAAGCTCAATTCATTTGTGTTGGTTGTTTGAATCTTCACACTGGTGTTTAAGACTGAAATTGATCAGTATCTGCGTATAATACTTGTAACTTAAGGCACATGATGCACACATTCAAAAACAGACTGATCAATTGCAGTCCTAAACATCAATTAAAAGATCCAAACAACTAATACAAATGATGAAATAAGCAGAATCTGTTTGATATGTATATAAATTAGTCAATTTACACGTCACTCATATTGAGTGAGACGATTAGGCTTTATCACAAATTTAACGAAGTTCAAAATCTAGACTACGGGATTTCAGTCTTGTGCTTTAAAGGTTATTGTGCTTGTCTCATCACATGCAATTTTACTGTCCGAATGTGTATATTGAAATTTTTTGTTACATTTGTTTCTGAAACTGTTAAAATACGAAATATAGCTTATTTATTTATTTGACAGAATTTTCGTCAAATTAACTCTCAAAATAATCATCATACAAATTATCCTTGTCATCAAGGTACAAGTGTTTTTCTAAATTGTACTTGTCTTAATTTTTGTGCGCTTTTACAAAAGTCACTATTTTTCGTTTGTCAACAGGCATACTACCATAGTCAAAGTACTTTACCAATATCGAATATTATTGAGCGTGCTCATCAATTACTTACTTCAATACCTTCAGATATACATCCAGAAAAATTATTGTCTTCGCTTATACAAACGGATACTCAAAATAAAAACAAAGAAAATACTTGCCTACCTTTTCAACCACTGACAAGTCCATACTATCCAATAATCACTCGTTATCCTAAATTCATTGTAAATTATCATATACAAGAACGTGAACGTATACGAGAGGAAGAAAAAGAATATCTCAGGCAAAAGTAAGTTTCATTGTATCTTGAAGCAGTCTATTTCATTTGGTTCTTCATACTTAGATGTTGCATATTTTGTCCCTTGTTTTTTGTTTCTTCTCTCTTATGCTTTTCTCATTTATTATGATTACTTTTCGTTCCTGTCCACTTTGCCTTATGAACAATCTCATAAGGTGTGGCAAATGAAATTATTACACTCGGGTTCAACGTCCTATGCTATGGTGGCCGTCTTTCTGGCAGATTACTGTTTTCTTCTAACTTTCAGTTCATTTCTGAGTAGTTTTCCTTGCTTTAAGTACGTAAGTTGATACTTGATCTCATTGGAATTTTCTTGTTTTAGTAATAATAACGAAATATTTTTAACTCTTTTTTGATCAAGAATTAATCAGTATGAAACTCATCGAACATCACTAATGATAAATGACTACCTTATAGAATGAGTTTAAAGTAATAAATACAACATCTTTTAACCTATATATTGCCCTCATTGTTTATTAACTTGAATTTTTAAGTGTCATTATTTTAACCAGTTTCTTCACTTGTAACATTTCGTTGTAATTGAAATGAACAGTTTCAGTATTGAAAGAGAACAATAATTTTAGGTAGTTTAAGATACTTTACTAAGTATACTGGGAAAAACAACGAAACACAGTGAATAAATGCTTTGCTCAATTATTGATGAAAATTTTGATGCACCATATTTTTTCTGCGATAATCTGAACAAACTTTCATCTTTTGTATAAATGTCCACACTGGTTTTTCATTTTCCGAAAGAAAAATTCCTTCTTAGTTTATGGAATGCAACAACTTGAATAGAAAATAAAAATGGAGAAATATTATTGTTGCGTTCACCACTAATTCGAGATTTTACGATATCTATGTGTATGCTGGTTAACTTGTTCAACACAGGATTAATAAGTAATTTTGTTTGTTTGGCCAAATACAGCAAACACAATTTTGTGGATAGTTTATTGATACTAGAATCCAAATTATGCTATAGATTTATAATTATTCCTTTACATGAATTAAAGAAACAGCTTGGAATTTTAGATCATTATTTGCATAAAACTCAGTTAATTGGGAAGCTGACATTATTACTAATACCTCATTACATAATATTAATCCTGATGCTTTTTTAAGTCAGTTGCAGATTACTAGTTTTATATTTGTGTTTAAGTAGGCTTCATTTTAGAATGTGAGAGAACTACTTTCAATGTCTACTAGTTTCTAAATATCCAACTGAGAAATTGCAAGTGTTTATATTCATAGATGATTCCTATTGATGCCATAAAAGAAGCAATTAGAAATATGATATAAATTTACAATTAGGAAGAGGAATATAAATATTCTCAACTTATTGGTTATCGAAAATGTATTGGTCAGAAACAACTATTATTTAAATTTAGTCTGAACGTTTACAATATTAAACGTTCAAAACGTTATGTACAGTCGGGTCTCGTGGTTTAAGCTTTACTGTATAAAGTTGATATGTAGCCACTTGATCGAAATCTATCCCTTGATAGGGAGATTGTTTTAAAGTCTAATCAGTTTTCTCACTACACAATTGGACGTTAATTTACCTTAGACGAATGTATATACTAGATACCCTCTCAGTGTCTATTCTATAGGACTTCAACACAACTCAGATCAAGAACACGTGACTGGCCTAACTAAAACGTGAGTATATTTCGACACCAACAACCGACAACAATCACAATAATAATAACAATTAAGATAACCTGATGTATAACCCTTGAAATCATTTTCAAATACTATTAATTTTGAGGCATTCTTTATCAGAAACTAAATTCAGCTGGAAAACCTCAGAAAACCAGGACATATTAAACAGCTGTTTTATCTAGTTTCAGAATCCATAGTATTGAGAACAGTTGTCCAATAGCCTCTTTTTTCAGTGTTTCGCTAACTTATGTCATTTCGTGACGAAACCTATTTTCAAACTGACGCGGTCTTCATATAGATTAGTTAGTTCAGTTTTCTAGACACGTTTAAGAACTATTTTGAAAGTGTTTTTAAATTTATCATTTATTTAGAGCTACGATCGAAGACATGCAACGTCGAGCTCAATTAATGACGAATGAAGAACACAATTGGTTAGTTTTTATTTAAATAAACTATAGTAATACTGTTATAATTCTCTTTTTACAATCCAGCTATTCCTATTGCTTAGTATTCTCGGACACCAATTCACTCGATACGTCCCCCAAATCAGAGCACGGTTGATCAGGAAAAGAGATTATATTCCAAATAACAAGGTTAGATGGAAGTAAGAAGCACAATAGGGAAAACGTTAGTATATTTAGTTTTTCACATGAGATTTCTCGTGTTCATTAAGTATTGGCTAATGCTGATTGGATAAGAACTGGCCAATCGGCGTGCACCGAAGCAATCGTGCATTGAGTATGCTTTAATCCAGTCTGTCCCGCTAACAAATACCTAAGCAAGTATTTCATGTGTTCACTTTGTATATGTTATGTTCTATTTCACTAACAAAGCGGTTAAAATCTGATAATACTGAGTTTCATACAGTAAATAAGTACTTTATTGCTGTTTTTATACACCTTTGACTGAGATTTCAATTTCAATGTACGTCAACAATTTGTTTTAATAATATAACTTTGAAATGATAATAAAGTATATTACTGTATAAATTGGTACGTATGAGTTGTTAGTCTATTGTGTTGGTGTTGACCCAAATCATTATGGTGGTTTGTTGGTGTTGCTACAACGACAATGATTGTTGTAACCTTTCATACTTCAGTATTATTATGACCGTTTCAATATGAGAATATCAAACAATCCACACATACTCCTATTGGCTACTATACCATATATGTATATTGTAATGCTACTCATTTATTTATTTCTTCTTGAGACATTTTATCTGGCTCGTAAGTTCCGTCTTCTGCCTTTTTTATTGTTGTGCGATTTTATTCGTCAGTTTTGTTCTGTACCTATCCATCCAGTCGTTCTCGTATTAGAGAAATCACCCAATCGTTCATATTTTTGAACATTGAAAATCGTAGCACCATGTCAACCAATTAGTTAACTTTATTTTCATGGAAGTTCTCTCAAAATATTCATGAGGATAAAATGGATCGAATGATAAATCACTTAGAATATTATCTAGGCAATGCTAGGTTTTTTTTAATTGAGTATTTTACATGATAGAAACATATGGTACAATAATCTATGTATCGCGCATAATTTCTTCTAATTTGTTAATGTAATAATTTTCATGGGTTTATGTTAACTATTCATTTTTAGTGCAGATTTGTCGTATTAACCCCACATAATCAATTTGTACTTCAACTGGATACTAACAAGATGATCGTTCGGAAATCAAAAAAAGCTAGTCGTATAATTGTTGAGGTAGTATTTTATTTTCAACCCGAGCAATGTCGTGTAATCGCGAACCGTTGGTGCCTTTTAGAAAGTCACGCATGATCTCGTAACTTTACCAACAGTTTCAGCCTTGAAATTCACTGTTCTTTATTTTTTCCAGGTATCGCCAGCAGCAGTTACTTTTAGATGCTGAGGACCATCGAAGGACGTTATTAGCTGAAGAAGAAAATAAGCTACGTGAACAACGGAAAAGGTTATGTGTCATTTAGTCTAACTTTAAATGTCAGCCTGTTTTATTAAATACATCTGTTAGACCTTTTGTTTATATCCTTGCAGATACTTAGTTGCTATGCGTCTGTCTACCAAGACCCAACACTGGAGACGATTTGCAGAATGGGTTGGGATGCCAGATTTTGGACCGTAAATTATGAGAAGAGGCTTGTGGTATTTTAGAATAGTAAATCTTCAACCATACAAGCACTTGTGGAAACAGCGCACTGCAAAGACAAGGGGGAAGACTCTTTTCTTATCTGGCTATATTTTTCCGACGGAGTTAATGTGTGGGTTGCATGCATGATAGCCCTTTTTGCCGCCTCCGGAAATCGATGTGGGATAAAAGCACTAAGTCCAAAAGCTGAAGCATCCGCAGCTATGGTGATTGGCATGGACGGATCATGGTGCGTTAATTATAATTCCGAGCTAATGATCGTCTTCAGCTTTCAAAAAGCAGCTTTGTATTCTTTCGTCCAGTTCCAAGTGGTATTCTTATTCAGAAGACAATTCGGAGGGGCGCGGATGTCGTGCACTGACGGAACAAAAAACGAGTAGTAACTAACTAGTCCCAAAGATGATCGTAGGGTAGAAACATTAATGGGAGTAGGCGTCAGCCATATAGTTCGAATGTTTTCAGGATCTGGTCTGCAGCCTGCTGCGTCAAAAATGAAACCCAAGTACTTTACTGACTTTATGAAAATCTGGCACGTCCCTGGACGTAGTCAGAAATCGTTATCACTGATTCGTTGTAGTATAGCCATTATGCGTTCCAGTAGCTGTTCTGGCGACGTGGCAACAATTAAGGTGTCGTCGAGATAAGTTGCGACCCCCCGAGACACGCGATAGGATGGTATTTATCAGCTACTGGATAATAGATAATAGATGGGGCGGTCTTAACTTCAAATGGTAGACGATTATATTGAAACAAACCACAATAAGTTTTAATGGTTACCATTTATCCTGATTCTTCATCCACTACCATTTGTAAATAGGCATCAGCAGGGTCCAGCTTTGCAAAGAACTTCCCACCGTAGTGAACAAATCTACGGGAATCTGTAGTAGGTAATGGTGTTGCTCTAGGGCTTCATTAAAGCTTGCGGCGAAATCTGCGCATATGCGTTTTGTGCCATAAGCTCTCTTGACAACTACGATAAGTGCTATCTAAGCAGAATAAGAAACGGACGTGATAACTCCTTGTAGTTGGAGGCGATTGAGTTTTTCATCAACTTTTGATAATGCTACATATGGTACTGGTCTCCTCGGACGGGAAACGGGTTTAGTCTCAGGTTTCAACCGAAGGGTTGCTTTTATAGCAGAGCATCGACCCAACAACGGCTGGAAAATGGTTGGAAACTCCACCATTAACTTCGTCGTATATACTTCAAGTTCACGGAGTTGTCTTACCAGATGGCTTATAGTACTTAATGGGACGTCAGTTAGCTGCAGCTGGTCGGACCAATCTAAACCAAGCAAATTTAGGCCAGCTGGCGTTATGTAACATACCCCAGTAGACGTTGATTCACGGGAAGGCACTACAATCTAGTTGTCCCAACAAACGTGGCCTCTGTGTTGTCGGTACTATATGCGGGCTGCTCATTTTAATCTGAAATTCCCGTGAGAGAATGGTAGTGTCTGACGCAGTATCTATTTGCAATCTAAATGGATTCTCATTGATATTAAGGGTAATAAATTTTCTCTCACCTGGGGTTGAGCTATGACAGGACTCTAATAGGTCCAACGAATTTGTGCAGGATCTGGAAACAGGATTTTTAGTACTTTCAGACGGATTTGGTTTCTTCTTTTATTAAAATTAGTCTTTGTGATCAACGGATTTACATTTCCTGCAACGATATTGTTTAAACACACAGGTTCGTACATAATGCTATGTACTATAGAGTGCCAACAGGAAGCAGGAGGGTTAGTTTTCGTCCATTGTAATCAACTCGGACGAGATGGATTAGGAATAGCAGGGGCGAATTTGTCTGTGTTGGATAGTTTTTGGACTGTGTGAACTTCCCAACGATCGGAATCACCACACCGGACCACTGTAGTGTCGTGCTACAGATTAATTAAACATTGATATTCGTTTGCAATATCCTTGAGAGTCGGTTTGGGATCTTGGTCCTATTGGCGAAGCAACCATGTTTTAACGCTAACGAACTTTTGTGATTGGAAACTACAGATGAGGATGAGAGCTTTAAACTTGTCTTTAGTCAGTGACTTCAGCCAGAAGCGTCCGCACTCGCGCTTGACGATGCCCACATACCTAAGGAAATCAGCGTCTTCGTTCATAACCAGCTTTAAGCATCGGTTGTGTGTGTTAAACATTAAGGAGTTATCTCCAAACTTAGCTCATTGGCTGGATAGTGTCCGAGAATGGGTGGTTACATGGGTTTATAAGCAAAATCAAAATACGGTGCCTGTCTAGCTCACTTGGACGCAAGTTTTGAAGTAGCAATCGAATCTTCCAAACATCATCTTGGTTGGCAAAATCAAATTTAACTAAGTTCTCATAGTGCCAGAAGCACATATCAAAAGTAACATTGGCTTCGGGATCGTAATGAAATTCGGCAATACTGACGGCGCAGTAGCAGAATTAGAAGTGCCCGGTTGTGTGGTAGGCGTAATTTTCGTTTCTGTTAACATTCCGTTGCTGTTACAACAATAACTCCACTTCTGAATGATCCATGTTTGCACCGGCCTCGTCACCGAATTGCTATGTTTTAAGGTTACAAGATCACCTAAAATCAGCGAACAGAACGAGGGATCAACGACACAACAGCAAGACAAGCTAAACTATTTCGATGTGTCCCAGTCCTGCTAACTAGAGGGAGGTGAGGTTCAGATGAGAGAAAAGGTATATTACCACATGCAGCCAGAAGTGCGGACAACAACAAACAACCCAAGGGTGTATATATATGGCATAATAATGTCCTTTGGAAATCTCATAAAGTAGCATATTAAAAGAGTCAACGAACCAATGACATTTAAGGTCCTTTCAAGTAGGAAATACAATCTAAAGGTAAAAATTGGTGCTTTTGGCGCAAAAACGAAAAATTAAGATTTCCAAAACAAAACTACAAAAATGAGGTGTTTATCAAGTTATTTCTGGGTGTCTAGGATCCCCAGTATTAGTTTGAATGAAGAGTTCATTTGGAGCCTAATTCTAAACGAAACAACCAAGTTCAGCAGTGCACTAAATAAGCTCAATAAACATTAACAGTTGTCTAAATTCTATGTATCATCTACCGTGTTTTACTCGGCTACTATGTGAATAATAATTCTGCAACCCTTCTCTTTTGATCTCACTGTATTGAATGGTTATTTTTTTCATCTGAACTATCCTGTCACCATTTATAAAGGTCAGTAAATGGTTATCATATCTCCTATATTACACACATTGACCCTATGCTCTGTTGTTGGCATATTTATGCCTGAGTCTCACTTGATGCAGAAACCTTGCAACAAGAAAATTTCTATTAGTTAAGTATGATGAAAATACCAAGAATGTATATCATGGGAAACCAAGTTAAGCACCTGTTGAAGCTTGAGATAGGTCCACGAAGATGTTTTAGGATGATCGCCAGTTTTCTACAAAAAGCACTAATAATTATTATTAGTCAGAAAATGTTAGGGATTGTCGCTGAATCATTTTTAGCGTTTTGTGGACTATTTTTATGTGGAAAAACTCATCAGACCGGGCTGCGTACATAATAAATAAAACCAGTTTAAATCCATTATGATAAAAGGCTTTTGTTATGATCAAGAACAGCTCCTACTAGTTGGGCTTCTGTTTAAGAACTAAATAACTTTTATTACTAACCAAATTTTCAGCATTTAGTTGTTATTTTCATTACTTTACAGATTAAATGCATTGATTCGCGAAGTGAAATTACATGAATTAAGCTTAGCTGAAGAATCTCGTTGTCATTTTAGACAACTCGATATTCGACGTCGCCAATGTGAATTAAACAAGTTAGAGCAAGAGTTAACTCGATTGGTAAGCCGGTAGTAATTTATTTCAATAACAGACGCTGCATACTCTTTCAAGTAAATATAATTACTGTGATTATATTAAGCATAATGAGAATATAAGTTTGTCAGTGAATGGATATAATGTAGGAAAGATAGTAGTAGCTAAACATTTACTTTTGGGGATACGAAATTTAAAATTACTGAGAAAATGCACTATTTATGGTCCTAATCATAAATTCATTTATGGTTGAATGTTCTTTACTTTACATTTAAAATCTTGGGAGCAGTACAGTATTTGATTCAGTCAGTCAGTAACAACGTAGAACTTCGTACGTACGTACATCAGTTCGAGTTGCCACACCACATTAGCACAGAGATACAATTGTCGATTCCAATCCCGTAGTAGTAGAGGTAATAAGAGTATGAGCAGTAATCGGGAAAATTAGTGTTTGGAGATGTTATTTAAAGAGTATAATACAGTGAAATAAATTTGGGAAGAGAATAAAAAGAGACAAGGAGGAATAAGGAGATCAAAATTTGGGAGAACACAAAGAGTGTATGCACCTGCGCCATTGCAAACGATTTTGAGCCATGTCATTCAGGGTCTCTAACCATCGGTTGCTATCATCTCGCGGTCTCCAACCAGGTAGTCTACACCTACCGACATGACTCAATCCACTTGTCAGTGACTTCATGGACTTGTGCCATGTTTTGGTCTGGCAGCCCTAGCTTTCTTCCAACCTACTCCTATATCACTGAACATCGCACGTCGAGGCAGTCGATTGTTGGGCATACGTAACACGTGTCCCAGCCATCTCAACTGATGAAGTTTCACTACTTCATCAATTGATTCGCCATCCACTTTTTATTCTGTGGCTACACGATGTTGAATTATCATGCCTTGAAGTTTTCTCAATACATTTTATGGTAAATAGATGTGATAGAAATCAGTAGTTCCGCAACTATTAATTTCTCATAAATGCTTAGGCTCCTTTGTTTTTTCAACATTAGTTTTATTTTCTTAAAATATCGAATTGTATATTTTTGTCGCCAAAACAAATTAAAAATGTACAAATATCACCGTATTTTTGTCTCTAAATATTCTATTTTGTTGATTTTTCAAATAACAAATGAAAATTTATTGAAAAATACTTTCAATCATGTTTTTGAATAATGGTCATCAAAGATCACGATCTGTTGTCCTACTGATCTTATACAAAGGCTTCCTAAGCTTTTACTGTGACAACGTTTAACCATATTGTAGCTGTTGATTAGTTATCAAAGCTTTCAACCTTCTATAGTATCATGTCTTTGGATCTTACTCAATCTTCTTAGATTGAAATAGTCAGGTATCTAAAATTCTGATACATGAATCTGTACATGGTTACTAAGTTACGTTACACTCAACAAAATATATTCATGGAGGGCATTTATATGTTGAATTACTTAGGTATTGTTTTAGGACGCTAAACTTGAACTTAGTGCTACAAGTTCGAAACATTAATCTCATATAAGATGGGGATGCTTATCTCATAGGACAAAAGTATAATTACGTGAAGATGACTGTCAGAAGGTAATATGTTTTTTGTTTCAATGCTAGTGTTATTCCTCTTTATTCCATTGTAGACAGTAAAATAGTTGTAGTTTGTTAAATCTCCCATGTTCCCGCGAATTTTGGGATAATAAATGAAATAGGAAGGGTTGAAACTATGCAACAATCTCTAAATGGATAGGATACTTATCCAATCACTGAAACCCTAAACACCTAAAACGTCCAAATTATTATTTCATAACATATTTTATGCCTTTAGACTAATTGCCGTATCGATGAAATAGATGCAGCTACTTACGCTGCAGAATTAGCTGACTTACGGGAAAAACTACACCAGAGGCGTGCAGAAACTTTAGCTATCATAAATGAACAGCTACAATCACGTGACAGAAATCAACCACCAAACAAAGAATGTCTTTTTCTAACAAGCTCTCCAGATACCAATGAGTCAATTACACATGATAGATATCTTGAGAGAAATGTTAATGAAGTTCATTCACACAGTCCAGACTACGTGAAAACGTCAGTTGATTCTGATGTGGCAAAGTCAAACCTAAAACGTAACAGTTCGTATAATAAGGTAATAATTTACATTTGTGAAGTGTGATTACCATTTAATATTAACTTTATTTACCTCAAATGTTAGACTTCTGTTCTATTTATGTTCTTTCGTCGTATTTTATTTTATTGCTGACGAGTGTCCTGTATGTTAAGTATCTCTTTAGTGTCGATCGAATTCTGTAAATCAAGTTTCATTGTGACCACTATCCTAGGTGACTCATTATCTCATGCATTATGTTGAGATGTAAAGTAGTGTTGTTTGAAGTAACAGACTACTTTCATCTTATACTGTTTGTTTTCTACTTTCTATCATGAAATCATTTTACTGTTATGTTTTAAATACACTCCGATTTTAGGACTTGGACGTTTCTTATGAAAATAAAAGCATTGCATAACGCTGATAAAAACTAATGCTTTCATTGGTTTATAAAGCCACGACATTTTTAAGTTCGGTAGTTAAAATGCAGTTGTTCTGGTAACATAATGTCATAATTTTTCATCTGATTCACATTATTGAGATGTCTACGTTACAAAGTTAGTAATCCATAGAAACTTTGCCACTTTTTAATATTTTCGTTTTTGGATTTTTATTGTTTTGCACTATTATCATATGAATAACATATGAAAAAGTCATTTCATTATGATACATTCAGTTAGGATTCATTTCTCAACCAGTTAGTTTTTTCTTCTTGTCATACCAAATAAAAATTTATTGTCCCAAATCTAAATAAATGTTACCTCGGTATCAAAACCATCAACCGTTCATTATGATCGAAAATTTTTCACATGTTAGTAATTGGAACATAACCAGTTGATTTATTTTTCTCTGTCAACAATACTTACTATTATTGATCATAGAATTTACATAATCAATCATACTTATTGCATCGTTATGTGGTTATTACAGTTCAACGCAATAACAATGTTCCCCTTTACTTCGACCAAACTCGGGACACAAACTGTCAATTGATCGCAGTATGAAATCTATTCATATGCTACTCACTTTTGAAAATTGTCATGAATGATCAACAAACATTTATCTATGTTTCAGTCATTTCCAAACTCCGCTGTAGTCGAGACAGCATTAATAACTAATATTCTTGTTTCAAGTATGTTAATATTTTCACACCATATTTACATATCGCTATGTTCATCAATAACCCAAATCGTTCGACGTTTCTCTAACCTCTTAAAAATGTATAAATATAAATAGCTTTTAAATTGAACCATCTTTATGTTGACTTTGTTTTTTAGATTATTTAGGGTGGTGTTGTCGGCGTCTGTCATGAGATCCGAAATTAAATATCATCGCGTTTGCTAGTAAATCTAACCATATGCAAGTAAAAACAACTGAACTACTTCTTCCATGTGACGACTCATATCCGTGGCAATGAATGACTATCCAGCGAAGAGTCTGAAAGTACAGAACTTAATCAAATTACGTGGCAGGAGGTTGGTTAATTGTAGTGTAAAAATTATAACGTGATAATTCAAGTGTTAAGGAAAAAGGATTGTATCATAGATAGCAAATAGTTTAATTAATTGATAATGTGTAAGACGGAATTAAAATAATAAGTGGAAAACGGCTCTGACAATAAGAAAGATAGAAATGACTTATAGACTTGCGGTATGCCCCTAAATGTCCTGGTACGGCCGAGAATGGGGAGAGTCCGCTCTCCCTCTCGAAATGCTCTCACATGGCCACGCGTATATAGCCTCTGCCAGGGAAGTCCTACTCACTGCCTTCTCGTGGCGGGGGTGTTGTTTACGAAGTCGAAAGGACGAAAAGCGAATGCCCGGCGCTTCAACCGGGCCTGTGGTCACAGTGAGTCCACCTAGAGGAGTTGGGGAACCCTGGTTCCAAACCAATGGTGCACATGGGCTCCAGTATCTTGAAGGAACAAATGTAGTATGAACCTATTGTTGGTCATCGGCTACTATTGAACTGCACCTGTCGACATTGCTCCACTGCCTTGTGGATCAGACCTTTACGTCGAAGGCTCCGGGTGTGACCCCTAAGAAAACCACCTGCTTAGGTTTGGGCACCTGGTCAGTATCACAGCCCTCACATAGATCAAATGAGATTTGTGTGGCGCATATGTATTTGGTGCCTCCTTGTACCAATATCTTTGTGTTAAAATAAGATAAATAAATAAGAACTGCGGTATTGACGAAAGTGGTAATTTGCGAGACACGTATCAGACACAGCTTGCTCAAGAGGGGTATGGTAATCCATGGCTGAGTAGGTGTTTATCAATTCCCAACTTAAAGCTATCCATCGATAGGGCTGTGGCCACTTTAGCCCAGAGGTCAACTTGTAATAGGAAAAATCGGAAGCGCCCATTGATGCGCAGTCTCTCGAGGGTTACCTTGAGGAACGTAGAGATGATGTTCTCGTAATATGCTCGCGTTTCGGTGTCTTGGCCTACTTATGCTGTATGCCATTATCTGATAACCTCTTATCTTCCTGTAGCTTAGTGACAATGAGCCTAGGTGTTGGAGTCCCTCCTCGTACGATTTACATTTTAAACCTATCACCCACTTAATTCCTCGTCTTTGTAATTGGTCTAAGCGATTTATATCGATTCTGAAGAGATGTAGGCACAGACATTGTGGACCTCAAGGTGATGTCGTGCGTACGTCTTAGACGGTGTTAAGAACAGTTCTGGTGTAGATGCGCCAAGTTTTGTATACATAAATTGGAGACGTTCGTTTGCATTTACCGCATCCCCTACGTAGTTTGTGTTGGTGTTCAAGCTCTCCGTCAGTACAAGCTCAGGATCGCGCCGTGAGAAAACAATCAGAGGCGGATTCTCGTGGAGGATGCGAGTGCTTTGTGTCAGATCAGGCAAGATGCTCATGTCATGACATTTCGACAGGTTACGTGTTAAACAATTGTCTTCTTCCCATCTCTTTATAATTGTAAGGTCCATGTAAAGCTCAGATGTATCATTTCCGCTTATTATGTACCTTCCTATCTTTGTGTCATCTTCATAGAGCAGTGCCGTCAAGCTAATTGTTCCTAACATTAGTGGACTATATTTACGAAACACACTATCCTTGAGGTAGTTTCGGAGCCAGGATAAAGTTGAGTCAGTAAAACCTATCTTATAAACCTTCGCAATGAAAAGTAGATTAGGTACTAAGACAAATACTTTTGCAAGATAGAATGATATTGTGTGAAACGATATGGTCCCAGCTGTCACATTATATGAGTAGGTTAGATGCACTGGACCTGCCTTCCCTTGTTTGGCTTCACGAAGAATGTGGTTATTCATGTACCCCTTATCTTACAGTTGGCCAGTCCTTCCATTACCATGTGCAGTGTTAGAAGTATTGCGACTGATCTTTAGCAGGCTGTATTTATTCTGTCAATACCTTTGAAGACTAAAGAGAGATTGACCTGCTTCCATGTTCGTGGAAGTTAGTACGAATATAGTGAGTACCCGAACTGGTCACACACCCGTGTTCTGATGGCTTCGGCGCTCTGTTTTAGGATTATAGGTCGGATGTCACGTCTTGGTGACTTTCCCGAGCATAGAGATTGAGTCCATTTAATACCGTACAATGACAATTAGTTGGATATTATCCAGACCCTCAAGTGGCACTAGAGTTGGTAGGTTCTTGGAATCAGTGAAGCCCATTGGATCCAATCTAGACAGCAGAAACTAGGTACGAGAGAGATGCTGTACTCCTGCCACGAAGTAGGAAATGCTCCGTACACTCAGGGATTAGCGCTAATGCTGTTCAAGAAAGCACTTATAGAAATTATAGGATGAGAGTCTTGTGGATCCAGAATTATCAAACCATCATTCGAAACAAAGAGAGAGGAAATCACAATGAATGTTATTCAATGTTATGCACCCACCAGTTACAGCAACGACGGTAAACATCAGTTCTATGAGAGGCTGCAATCGAACATAGCGAAAGACCGACGAAAGGATTTCAAAATCCTGATGGGAGACCTAATCGCCTAAGTTGGGATGGACAACACCGGACATGAAGATATAATGGGACAACTAGGAGAAAGGGACGAAAATGCGCAGTTATTTGCAACTTTGTGTGCACTTAAAAAAATGGTTGTAGGCGACGCTATATTCTCCCAAAAAACACAAAGCCACGTGTGTCTCACAGGATCACAGTATAGAGAGTTGGGTCGGCAATATTTACACTGGTAAGACAATCATAAGGTCAATATAAGGCGTGACGACCAGAAGAGGTGATGGCATGGCTTCAGATCATCACCAACTGATGGTTACTGACATAAAAATGAAGATTAAGAAGTACTGAACAACTGGACAAACAGTATTACAAAGGTTCGATACAGCCTACACAGAGGCGAACAAGCAAGTCAAGAGGAGCATTAGAGCTGATAAACAGAAACTCATGGAAAAGCTAGCAAAGACAGCGGGAAAGTTGCAAGAGAAAAAATATGAGACAACCACTTGATATCACAAAAACACTCACAAGAAAATATGGTAGACGAAAAGCCTGTCAAGGACAAACAAAGCAAACCAATCATCGGATTCAAAAACAGAAGGACAGATAGGTAGATCACTGAGAAAATCTTGAGTTGGCCAGCTCAATTGAATCCACCGGACATCGAAGCAGCACATACAGACCTCCCTGTAGTTGTCATTACACCAACGATCGAAGGAATCATGATGTCCATCAGACTAATCAGAAGTGTGAAGACAGCAGGACCTGACAATATACCATCTGAAGCCAGACATAGAAGTAAATGCAAACGTGCTCCACATTCTATTCAGAAATATTTGGGGGGAAGAGTATGTGTCATTGGCAAACTGGAATTAAAGATACTTCATCAAGATGGCAAGGAAAGGAGATCTGAACAAATGTGAGGACTAAAGAAAGCATCACATTACTATCAGTACAAGGAAAGGTTTTCAACAAAGTATTGATGAACTGGATGAAAGATTCAGTAGACACTTAACTTCGAAATCAGTAGGCTGGATTCCGTCAGGATTGGTTGTGCACAGACTGAATCTTGACACTAGGGATCATTGTTGAACAACCAGTTGGATGGAACTCGTCACTATACATGAACTTACTTGACTATGAGAAAGTGTTTGACAGTGTGGATAGGGTTACATTATGGAACCTTGTTTGACACTATGGCGTAACTGAAAAAATCGTCAACATCAGATGAATTCATGCGACGGGCTACAGTACAGCGTAGTCCATTGAAGGACAGCTGACAGATGGACTCCAAGGAAGGACCGCTTTCAGACAAGTCTGCTTACTCTCCCCCTTCTTCTGGTGGTTGTCTAGGTTACGGAGACTGACACGTTTCAGGGATGTACGGTATACAATAGACAGCTCAGAACCCACAAAATATTTGGACTTCGATAGTGACCTATCCTTTCTATACCATACACACGAAAAAAAATGGCCAGTTTAGCAGCAGTATCTGCATCAGTAGGCCTCAACATAGACAGTAAAAAAAACAACATCCCTAAATACAACACGAGAAACCCCAACTCAATCACACGATGTATAGACTCTGGAAGTGGTGGGAAGTTCCACGTACCTAGTCAGCAGCATCATCAATGAACGTGGATGGTCCAAGGCAGGCGTAAAGGCTAGAAATGGCAAACCAAGGACAGGGTTCCTACATTTTAAGAAAAAATGGAACTCGGGACAACTGTCTGTAAGCCAATATCAAAGTCAGAATCCTCAACACGAACGTCGAGACAGTTTTAATGTATGGAGAACTACCACAACCATAATAAAAATATATTGGTATTTGTAAACCTCTGTCTACGTAAAGTGCTTAATGTAAAAACCAGATCCCAGCTGAAGAGAAAATTAGGAAAAGTCGTTGAAGGTGTATGGAACATTCATTGCAGAAGTCGTCAAACTACCTCAAGAAGCAAGTGCTAACTTAAAATCCTGAAGGGTAACGAAAAAAGGAAGCTCCAAAGAAAACACCACGTCGAATATTGGAAGCAGACATGAAAAAGACGAATGGAAACCGGAAAAGATTTCCGAAGACGGAGTTCTATGGAGAGTGCTGGTGGGCGGCTTATGCTCCTCCACTATAGGTAGTAGGAGTAAGTGGGCAAGTAGGCTTCCATTTGCTTACCTAAAAACATCTGTCGTCAGAGACTGTTTTCGCGTCTTTTTCTCAAAGCCAAGTAAGAGTTATGGATCGAGTCCTTCAGGGAGACCTGCCACTTGCGCCGTGTTCTCCGTTTGGCCTGTA